GTGTGTGTGTGTTGCTGCATGTAGCAGAGTGTGTGTGTGTGTTGCTGCATGTAGCAGAGTGTGTGTGTGTTGCTGCATGTAGCAGCTGCGTGTGTGTGTGTTGCTGCATGTAGCAGAGTGTGTGTGTGTGTTGCTGCATGTAGCAGAGTGTGTGTGTGTTGCTGCATGTAGCAGAGTGTGTGTGTGTTGCTGCATGTAGCAGAGTGTGTGTGTGTGTGTNGGAGCTTAACGGTACCACGGTCTTTAATAATTCAGCCCCGGGGCCCGTTTAATACCGGGGATAGGTACCCATCCCTAATCCTCCCTCAGGGACTTATTCCGGTGTGAACGCGATCTGCTCTTTAGTTTATCAGAACTAAAGAGTTCTGATGAACTAAGTACTTGGAACTAAGTACGGCAAACTACTTGGTGTGAAAGCGCCTATTGTTTACATCAGGGAAAAGCTAATCGCGCAGATGCTAGCTAGCGCGGTGGTTGGAACAAAGACTATCCCCACTGAAATCTGAAGAAGGACGCAGGGTAAACCAAAGAAAGGAAGGAGGATGGCTGGGTCCAGATGTATGGAAAAAAGGAGATATATACACTACAGTGACATCTGGCGCAGTTTTTGCAAGACGTTTTTACTTCCAAAAAAAAAAGACCAAACGTGTGTGACGTCACATCAGGGAGAGCTAACGTAGGCTATTAATAAACATGGATCACAATGCTAGTTTTGACACAGAAGAGGTTGAAAATGTATATTCGTATGCATATGACGGACCACAACCTTATAATTATGAGCCTGCTAGGTGTCCAAGAGACCAGGAGCAGCCAAGGATTAGAAGAAATAACGGCCATCAGAGAGAAATGGATCTTTGGTGTGAGGATAACCAGTGGAGAACTGGGCAGCTGTCTTGGTGAGTGACCGGCGTTAGCTACAGTTAATGTTAGCTTACGTCGGTCACATCACAACATCGTAAAGTTAGCTATCATATATCAGGCTTTAACTAAAGTAGTATTGATAATATAGTAACGTTACTGGCAGGACTGTTGATACTGATTCATAACAGAAACTAATGCACAAGTATCAGCCGTATCTTGCGTTACCTAATGCAACTCCACACTATGTCTTACGGTGCTGTACCGAAGGGGAGAGAGAGAGGAGTGAAGGGGGCCTGACACGGTCCTGGCTTCGATATCCCATCCTGAACTCCATCAGATCACCTGCCTCATAATCCTCCTGTCTAAAATGAGCGCCACAAACGACCGCGTTTTTCGTTGCAGATGCGGCAGTGAAGTCCCGTCTCTTCGCCTGCACAAAACGCACCAAGGAACGAAAGCTAGCTCCGGTCCTTTTCCTTTTAGGGAAACTGTGGGCTCAATGTCATGACAGGCTGGGGTTTGCAACCTGCACAAACACAATAGCTTACCATGATTAAAAATTGTGAAATGCAATGTAAAATTACCGAAAAAATACCAGCTCACTAACTCACAACCGCTTAAACCAATTACCAACTAATATCGCGAATTGGGCAGAGAAGGAGTCGGAGAAAGTTGCTCCCGTGTGTGACGTAATATGACGCGTTTGACGTATGACGTTAAAAAAAACTGTTTTTAGTAGCAGAGCTCAAAACAGCTACTTTCCCTGTGAATTCCTGCCCTTATGTCTCGTAAAACATATCAAATCCTGCATTAACTTTTTTAATTGTAATTTTCAGACAAGGTTAAGCATAAATGTAGTAAAAACAACAACCTGCAAGTTGCTCTTTAATGTACTTTATGAAAACATGGCTGCACCAAGACCTATCTATTAACAACGTTTCCATCAATGACCAATGCTTCCAACGTTTCCTTTGCTTTCTTCCGGACTGTTCGGATCGACAAGGATTCCACTTAGAGCTTCACCATCTCTTCTATGGTCTGAGTCTTCAGAGGGGTCTGTTCTGTGGGGGATGTCAGGCATTGTTCCTTTGTCCCAGCTGCTAAAAGTTATCTTATGGCACGTTTTACTTGTGTTTATATCAACCAACTCTCTTCAGTCTGCGTACAAATGACATGACTTTACACATTGGAAATGCGTGCAATAGGTACGCAGAAGTCAGATTTTGCGTGCATATGATATGCCAACCATTCCCATTGAGTTCTGAGTCCGAGTTTTGCGTGCATATAATACGCCACGTTTCGTGCCTGGACCCGGTTGGGTCTTGGAAGTCCGGAAGCTGTGTGGTTTATAAAAATCAAGCCACGATTATTGTTTTTATTTTAAAGGTGACCTATCATGCAAAATGCACTGTTGTACACGTCTTTTATAGCATGAACTACTGTGTCCGGGTGTTCCAGCTATTTGGTTTCATAAGAACATTTTCTGTACTCAATATCCCAACGCCACGATTCATCTGTTTTTATTTTAAATCGTATCTGAATCGTCGTATACTAGCGTCCTAAGAACACTAATAACTACGAAAAGTATAATCTTATCTGGTTAACACTTTAAACTTGATCGTTTTTAACCTCGCACTGCCAAAAAAGACAAAAACAATTTGCAAATATTATATTATGTTGAATAAAATATTTGAATATTAGCATACATAAATATGCGAACGAGATGATACAGACTACAATTAGTGCAAAGAGAATAATAAAGAAGAATTAAAAAAAAGATGTCAAGAACCAGAAAAACGATTAACGCCGTTGTGAGTTAAACCACTTAAAGAATACTTTAGGTTAAGGTCTTCTTTTAAATACCAGAAAAAAGCTTCGGGGTATCTACAAGGATAAATATTCAAAGTAATTAAAAGTCTGAAATACTGTAATTGCTTTTCTGCAATGTTACACTTGTTGGAGCACTCTCTATTTGAACTGGATAATTTCATACATATTAATTATATCTCTATAAGATCGTATGTAGATATTATAAGAAATGTGCAGAAATATGACAGTTTTAAGTGGTGGAGGTATACACGCATATTGATAGTGTCTTGTAAATGGCAACTGTTGAAGAACCGGTGCGACCCAAGTTTTTCAGTCATTGCATAACTACACCGTGTTGTGTATATGATATGTGCAAGGCTAAATCTTCTGAAAATCTTGAAATCTTGAAAAAGGTTGTGCAAAAATAATCCATTAAATACAGTTTTAGGAACTAATTTAGTAACGGAATAACGAGGTAACGAATATGCTTTATGGCAGGGGTGTCAAAACTCAAATACACAGTGGGCCAAAATTAAAAGAAATCGGTTCTAAAGTCGAGGGCCGGACTGGTTAATGGTTTATTGCAAAACGTATTGAAATGAACTTATTGCAATTTAAACTCGGAAGCAACAAAGCTTCAATTATTGTATACGGAAACAAAAACATTAACATGTTAAATAATCAGTTGATTCATGTTCTTATGGCTCTTAATGGTTTCCTTGTGATTACATTTTCCAAAGCCCAGACCAGCCTTCAACAAAAATTTTCCCCTCAAAGAAAAAAAACAGAACATGCCCTGTGTCGCGAAGAAAAAAAGTGCAAAAGGAAACATCCATTGAAACTCAGTGTTGGTTGCTAGCCTGTGATGCTAGTTCAAGCCAGACTAATTGGCATCTCCATCTTGGGTGCCAAGTTCATCAATTGTTGGGGTCAGGCTCTGAGCTGAGGAAATCCTCAGGATTGAGTGAATGGTGCTGGTCAATGATACCGGCGGGCCAGATCCTAATAGTAATTATGAATTACCTGCGGAGCGACAATTAATCCACCAAGGGCTGATTCTGGCCCCGGGCCTTGAGTTTGACACATGTGTTTATAGGATCGTGCAAAGATAAACGTCCTAGTCTTTCTCAGACACCACTATCAACTATCTCGCTGATTGTTGGCAACTTGACAATCACCTTCCCTGAATTGTAAAAACTCAGGTGTAAACTAAAGTCTGATTTAAGGGTTGTTTATATTTCACAATCAATAATCGAATCTGCGGGGGCGGGAACTGGACCCCGTTCAAATCCCATTTGGATAGTCTGGCCGTGGGTTCATTCCATTTCATATG